AACCTTTAAAGCGCGCGATTTTTTCCAGTGTATATAGACCAATTTATAAATTAATGATCATAATTTAATTTACTGTTTTAAATGGTTGTTAGTTATTTTAATTTAAAGAAATTCAAAAGAACACGACCGAGCCGTTCTGCAAAAAAAAAACGTTCTGCATGATTTTTTTTCGCTGGCTGGGAAATTAGCGATCATCCTGGCATTATATAAAAGAGCTCAGAATTGATATTACAAGTTATTACGTGTATTAGACAATTTGAGACAGTTGAGGACCGGCGTGTTTCACTTAAACACAGGTCAWTAATGTCAAATGTAATCACTAAATTGACATAAAAGAAATCCAGCAATTACTATTAGTGCTAAATTATACTAAATTATGCGAATTCCTTTGTTTCTCTATTTAGTATAAACATACTAATGGTCTATCACTCATACTGCGCTGTGATTGGCTACTCTACTAATGGTCTATCACTCATACTGCGCTGTGATTGGCTACTCTACTAATGGTCTAATTTGTGATAGACCACTCGCGGGAAGATCAAAATGGCGGCATCTCATTAATAAATGATTTTAAGGATATTTCAATTTGTTTTCATTATTTGACCGATTCGTATGTTTATACTAAAACAATTAGACCTCTTGGCCTCGTGGACTACGAGCTAATAGCTAGCCCATCAGGCTTCGCGGACTCGGCCTAATGGGCTATAAGCTAGTAGTCCAMTCGACCTCGAGGTCTAATTGTCTAATATACACTATATTGCGCCATCTAGCACTATTTCGTTACTACAATATCACGCGTTTAGTGTCTTTTTCACTGATGTTGATTAAACCTAAAAAAGGGGATTTTTCCACAGGAAACCCGAAGTATAACTATGATCCAATATGGCGACCCTAACGGATTCTCTGCCATGGCAAGGACGGTCGGTTTACCGGTTGGCATAGCAACAAAACAAGTGATGGACGGTAAGTCAGTGTTTCTGGATTTTTACCTTTTGGGACTTTAGCCGGGGTAGAGTTGAACAAAACAAACCAGCAATTTACTGGGCAATTATGATGCAACATCGATATAATGGGCAGCTATCCTGACCGTGAAAGAACTCAATCATATGAAATTATAAAAACGGCGCCACTGCTCTCAAATAATTCACTTCAGTACACTTCATTAAAGCACGTACGTGCATGGAACTGATAGAATAAAGATTAAAGTTAAAATATCTTATTGCATGGGCTGCCTGTGGAAGACCATGTCTAAAATCACTGACGACTTTTTTGCGTGTTCTTCAGTATGCTTCAAAGTGGTATATCCGGGACCTTTTCGTTTGTTGTTATTCATGTTTCTAAGTAACGATTCTAAGGCCGCCTCGTGCTTTGCTAATAGTCGAGTTTCGCGATCTCTTTTACGCTGTGTTAGCCTCAATTGTGTGCTAAAATATTCAGAAATGTAGATAAAACTCGTGAGATTTCAAACTATTCCCATTGTCTTCTATACTCACAAATCTCTTGCATTTGCACGGGCTATTGTGAATAAAATAATTTATTACATGGTATTGAGGCTAACTCAGCGTAAAAGAGATCGCTAAAAGGGTTTATTGGTCGACCTTGGCATACCAAACTTATAGATGGAAATCGCGGATATAGTTTCAAAATACGCTCAAATCTCTTACAAATCCACAAACTATTCGCGGTAGAGCCACACTAAATGATGTGGAGCGTTTTTCTAAGGTGCATTTAGAGAATTTATCGTGAATCWGCCTATCGTTAATTGTCTATCAAATGAGCTATCCGTGTCTTATAAGCTCTGAAATCACAAAGGAATGATCTAAGAACATGAAAGACTATCGACATGTGTTTACAGCCAAGTATGCGACTCGTCAAACATGATTACTTTTTTTCAAACATACTAACTATATGGTCTTTAATCCTCATCCTGGATATGTTTATCAATTCCTGTTAAAAGTTGATACAATATGACTGAYYAACATATATATATATATTCTCAAATATTAAATGCTACTGAAYGCAATATATTTTTTTCTCCTTGATAAAAACCCATMTGAATAAAATTTCATTAMAACTGCCAGTAYCAATAATATGCATTACCACAGRARGCCCATGTATGCGATCGCTGATCGTCTTGTTTACTAAACAGAAGACGTGTTGATAATAACACTGAAAATGGTTTAATTATATTTAAAAACTTGACACTCTTCAGSTTGCGAAAAAAATCTCWATTGAATGAYACTTKCCAATCCTAAGAGAATTCTTCTGTCTTTATAGGAGACATAAAAGCAAGCGGCGTCTTCACACCCGTTAAAAGAGAAATCTATAAACCATTGGTGAAGAAAGTGCGTGCTGAAGGGATAACTAGCAAGAGTTCTTCCTATTTCCATTAAATACGCACAAGATTTTGAGTCTTSAGGCAAAACACAGCACGACCAATTCACTGTGGACTTTGCGCRTCAGTTTTCTCCGAATTACTAGAACTCGTTTGTGAGGCYAATTCAATTTTTCTATACTAATATTCTTGTCTGTCTGTCCKTGTATCTGTATTTATTAATMGCTAAATGAWTGTGGATTCCTCTAATGGGAACCTCAAGTGTCGCGATAGTGAAAAGGTTTTTCATATAATGRCCATGCTTAGCATTTTACCGAGAAYTTTAGCTAGKATAGAGGCTGCTTTTTCTTATTATTCTAAACGAAGTCTCCAAAAATCCATCAGTTTCTGAATGAATATAAAGTAACTTAATTATAAGTAACTTATTGGTAACGTATCGTTCTTTTGTGCTATGACGCGCTCAAAGGATTCCAGGAGTTTCAGAATAACAATTAAATTGTCACTGGAAAAAATCGCGCACTTTAAAGGTTGTAAATTTAATGCAAATATGATGTAAGTGTCCAAAATTCTGTAAATTTGTTGTAAATCATTTMCATCAAATTTWCAGAATTTTGGACACTTGCATCATATTTACATTAAATTTACAACCTTTAAAGCGCGCGATTTTTTCCRGTGTGTATTTAAATCTAAATTTATTAACTCACACTAGTGATAAAACTRAATTGCTTGCATCTTTATTTATTCACCTGTTTGTACATGAAATACTTTTATTAATCACAATAGAGCAATTAAGATGTAATTGAATTTCAAGCAGAATTTTACATGAAATCATTATTTATCATATCGCTCCTTATTTGGTTATAACATTCCTTATTTGGTGTGTATAGTTTTCCTCGTCTTTTCATTGCTGTTATTGTGTTAAAAGCAATAGATATAAATATAGAATAAAATCTCCATCTTGTGTAAGAAGTTTCTAAATGTACATGTTCCTATATGTATTTTTTTGGTATATTTTTTTTTGGTATAAATATGTGCTCACAATTTTGGCTAATAAACTATTAGTTTTTACAATAAAATAATAATATTTCTTCTTTTCAGTATTTTAATTTAAAATACATTTGCATTTGCATCGAATCAATATCTTTTCTTCATGTTTCTGTTTGTGGTACTTTGTCGGATACAATGGCGAATGTCAATGGTCGAACGGCAATAGTCTCCTTCACGGATACCCGCGCCATCTTGAAAGGTAGCCGTGCCTTTGCACCGAAGCGAGACGACCGTTGAGCGTGCAATGATAGATACCTGTGAATAATTGTCTGTAGGTGTGAAAGAAGGTTTCTATCATTGCACGCTCAAC